CTCATGGAATAATTGTGCGTAGCTTTGACCACTTGAAATGAAAAGAGAAGAAAAGGCAGGATAAGTTGGGAAACTATAAGAAAATAAAGAATAGGATAAAAGAAAAGAGATGAGAAGAGAAGAACAGATAACAGACAATATTAGACGGGATAAAATGAGATGATATTACAAGAGAACAAGATCTGATTAAAATGAAAAGTAATGAAAAGAATGAAATGAAGAAAAGAAAAGAGATGAAGATGCAATCGAAATATCGAAAATAAAAAAGATACTGAAAGAAAGAAAAAAATTGGAAGAGGAGAATATAAAAGGAAAATCATTAAACATAAGAAAAGAAATGAAATACAGAGAGAATATAACTTATGGAGCAATATAAAGAACAAGAAGAGAAAAAAGAGGGAAAAGAAGAGCAGTGAGAAGAAAAGAAGCGAAGAACACAAACGAGAGAAGAGAGAAAGGATCAGAGAAAACTTGGGGAAAGAAGCGAATATGATTAAAGGGGTTAAAAGAAAAGAAGAATGAATGAATGAGACAAATCTAAGAGGAAAGAAAAGTAAAGAAGAGATGATTGATCAGAGAAACGCTACAAAGAGAATATTAAAGAGCAATCCAATATATAAAATAAAAGATACTGAAAGAAAGGAAAAGTTTCAAAGAGGAGAATAGAACAAAACACCGAACAAGAAGAAGCTCGCCTAACAAACCTCTACTGAAAAATGCAAATGTTGTGCTCATCTGAATGGTGCTGTGCCATTATAGACTCTACTCCAGAACGTGACAATTCTAGAGTAATAAAGTTGCAGCAGAGCGCGTGCTTTCATTATCGCCACGTGCTCCGCGACCACCTGAGGAGGTGGGTCTAATTTGAACAGCAATAAATATCGCCCAGTGATCGGCAGCAGTTAAGGTTATAGGTAGGACGTTACGTGTGTATTCCGAAATTGGCGTTTGTTAAACAAAATACATTTATGCGAAAAGATTTATAGTATTTACACACACTCACACACATATATGTATATATGTGGTTGAGAATATATTTGAATATTTCCACAACATTTTTATTTTCAAATTGTTTTACTTTTTATGTGTTGCTTTTGTTGTGTATTGATTTTGTTTATGATTTTCTCGTTTAATTTTTGGCACCATTTCGTTTGCTCCTTAAATTAAATAATAAACAAACGTGCCAGGTCACGTAGGGCTAGTCAAGATGTTTCCAGTTTGTCGCGCAGCGTTGACAATTTGGCGATACCCGTGCGCAGGTAAGTTCAGTTAATTATTGCTAACACAACACTCACACACACACACAAAACCACACCCACTCACACAGGTATAACAGCATCGTGTACAATTATAGCTAACACCTGTATCATTTTGAATTGCATGTTTAGCATGTTGCATGTTAACTCTTCCATGTACATCTGCAAGCATGTTTATAACTTCTTAAGGCATGACTATGCATAACGATTTGCCATATATATATATATCACCCATATCCTATATACCCAATATATATCCTTTCTATTTACATGACATTTTTTCCAGCGAAAATTGTGTCCATAACCAAGATTTTTACCAATTTACAGCTAATTTATAAAGAACGCAATCGAATTGCATAAATAATACAATGGAAAACGAAAACTCGGTATCGATTTTGATTATTTATAGATTTGGAAGTAATCTTAATAGCCCTTGTCTTTCACATTGCCAAACTTTGTTCGTGTATTATTTATAAGAGTCACAAAGTTTGCTAAGCACCTCATATTAATATGATTAAAAGTATAAAAAAATAAATTTCTTGGCGAATAAACAATGGGAAACCTTTTGTGCTGTGGACAGATTAGCAAAGATTAGATTAAAGAGCAAATAGCTTGATAGGGTCTTCAACCAAGTGCGTCATATCAATCAAAAGTGTCTCAAGTTTTTCTTCTTGTTCTGCATACAAATATAACTATATGCCTATATACATATACATAAATATATATGAATGTGTGTATGTTTACAAATTTTTGGGCTTGTTTTTCAAACAATTATTATCTGTGCTTAGATGAAGACGTATTTGACTTCTTTGCAGATTAATGTTTTATGATGATATTTTATGTTTGCTTACCAAAAGTTGAAAAAAAACCTGAAAATACACAGTGCTGAGATATATAGTATATAACTAGATCGGACAGAGTGAGTGCCGTACCATCTATAATATTACAGAGGAAAACACTGAAAATCTCGAATCTAACTCAAATATTCAAACTAAAATTATATTTAATTTATAAACAAATTTAGATTTTTGTCTTAGGGATCCATTAAATATACTTTGGATATATTTCAAAGAAAAGAAATATATATGAATAGATGCGAAAGAATACCGAATTGCAGAGAAAAAAACTAAAGAGAAAAGATCAATAAATAACGAAGATTCGGGTTCGATTCCCTGACTAGCTCCCTTTATGTTATATATTTTACGAATATTTATCTATATTTATATATTTTTTTATAATAAACCAATCGTTGTGTTTTGGAATACCTTATGAAAAGTTCTTGAACTTTCAGTAAATCAATGGCACAACGATAGCTCGATTATCAGTTTTATCATTTCACATCAGATAATATATGTATATATATATATATATATATATATATATGTATATAGCTTTCTATATATGTTATTTATATATATAGCTACAGCAAGCCAAACAGAATAATGTTGTCTTTTTGAAGTGTTGCTGACAGTTGTTGACATATGTCAGCTGTCCGCAGTAGCTGTTCATTGGATCGATGGGTGAGTGGTTAGGTGGTTGGGTGGTTCGCACTGCTCGAATGGTGTCAGTGTGGCAACAACTGCAGTCAGCCTTCCTTGGCACTCGTCATTATCAAAGTCAAAACGCTTTAAGCCAGCTATACTGCTACCTTTTTTTAGTGTTCAATATCAAAAGCAAACACTGGTAAGATATAGCTGAGCGTATTCTCTATGCACTAGAAATATATATGCGAGTTTTCGAACTTCAAATAAGAAAGGTATCCTAAGCGTGTGGCACCTGCAGTGTACCACATAATATATGTTTACTGAACTCACTCAAAAGTTTATTTAACAACGAATACTAAAGAACAAAATGAAATGTATTTAATCATGTGATAGCATTTTAGCTGGAATGGAAACAACTGTACAAATGAAATTCCTAGGTCGCCTCTCGACTTAACAAATAATAAGAATGTAAAAATGAATTAAGCAACACTGACCAACACGGCTTTTGTGACCAAGAACTACACTTTGCTTCAATGAAGACTTTTTACCAGCTTAAGGCATATTTTAAACTAGTAAATCTTATCATCTTTTTAGATATTCTAATCGAATATCTATAATCTCAGACAATAAAATCTCAGCCAGATATTCTCAATGGTTGAAGTAGGATTTTCAAATACTCTAAAGTCATGTTTGGAGAAATGGTTAAGTTGATATTAGTAGAGCTCATGTTAGATATTTTTAATTTTAGAATTGAAAATTTCGACATATAGTAGCCCTGACTACGTCAGATTCGTGTTCATTAAGTTTAATCCAACTAGTCACTCGATGCTGTTGCCCTGTGTAATTTATGTCGCAACTCACAAATCAAACACAGTTCTATAAACAGATATATACAGTTATTATGCGGGCCAAGTGAATGGGCGGGCACAGTTTATTTGATTTGTGAAATAATTCAGCTGCGCAATTTAATTAAAAATTGAAACATGCAAAATAGCAGAAAATGCGATAAATAATAATACATCAAATAAATAATACATTTTTGTTTATCTACAAACGATAAGCTCTCTTAACTGCGCTTACGCATATAAATGCTAGAATTGTATAAATATATATATATATATATAGATATAGAGATATACATATATAGATATCTTTTATCATAGATATTCAATTACGTTTACCGCAGTGTGCGGAGACATGCGCAAATTAATTTCCATTTAGCTTTATTTTTAATCAATTTAACAAGAGTAAAAACACAAAATAAAAAGAAAATAAGAGAAAAACTGAGTTATAAATGTGCTCAATGAGAAAAGATATCTATCTATATATGTGCATATAAAGCTTATTGACAATTCTTGTGCCTGTCAATCAGCTATTCAATTTCTTGTGTCGAAAATCAAATAAAAATCGGATTTTTCCTTAACGGACGACAGTACGCGCAGGCGGAAATTACATTTCTTATACCCTGTAGACATTGTGAGGCTTATAACGGCTGTATTGTCCCAATGAAGGCAGTTCATCTACATGAGTTGAAAAGCTAGGGTATAGATATTAAAATTCTTATAAATTTAATAATTTAATATTGAGACAACGCTTTAATCTAATCTTAATCAATCAGTACCTAGAGAACACTGAATCAAGCTATGGTTTGGGTATTTATTAATCAATCAATACCGCCTAGAAAACATTCACTTCTTTATCAACCGAGCTATAACAGAAACCCGTCAAAATATAGATACACAGATATATATATAAAAGAATATATGAATAAGGTATTTCTTAGTCAGTCAACCCACGCACAGAGCACACTCACTTCCTTTCCAATCAAGTTGTGACAGAAAACTGTCAAAATTGAGCCTCACAAAGATAAATAGTTTGAAATATTGATAACTCTTACAAATGCTATCATGACACACGTATATATATATATTTATATTTCTATAAATATATATGTATTTGTGTAGGAACTATTAAAAATCGAGGCGGCAGTCCAAAGTTAGCCACATGCCAACTTTATAAGGCTAACTACAAACATGGCGCTAGGAAGCACACACGCAGGCACGCAGCTACAATCTAACATATCTACGTCGTCATCAAAAAAAGTTAAGAATATTCTAAATAAATAAAAAAAAGCTCGAAATGCACGGCAAATGAATTTTAATGAAACTGAATATGTTCGCAATTGTGTTTGAATTCAATTTCGAGGCATTTGCCTGATGCCTCCCCCAGGGCCCCTCCGATGACTTAAAAACACAAAAACTGATTTTCAACATTTATATTCGATGGTCGTGCTGCCTATAGATCGATGATGTGGCGGATTGTCTAAGCCGGCAACGAGTTGCCCTGTAAAAAAAAACAAACACAAAACACAAAATGCTAAAAATGAGACGAGACAAAATAAAAATTGAATGCATTTAATTAAGCTCGCCTCGTTTTGATCCGCATAGAAGCTGGAGATCTGCTGCTGCTGCTGTTGCTGCTGACGCATTTGGCGTTCATTATAATGCTGCATGCGCTCCAGCACCGATATCTGGCGATAGTTATCGGCCGTATAGTGTGACATGGCAATACCAGCGCCCTCGATCAAAGCTAACAGCACTCCGCCCACCAGGGCGCTGCTTAGCATGGCTGTAATGCCTGAGAATATCGATCAAATAATGATTCTATACAGAAAAGTTACGAAACTTGCCACCACGTGCCGCTAAAACGCCGCCAGTTGCTGCGCCGCTTATTATGGAGTTCCACGGATCCTCCTTGCCGCGCATATAGACCAAACTGCAGTCGATGGCACTGAATGTGCCGCCCCATATGGCGAAGCTGCCGCCCACTAGGCCCGAGCGGGAGCGCATTGCGGCCAAGCCGCCAGCGAAGCGACGTGGTAGCCCGCAGGGTGCGTTGCGAAATCCTTTGATGGCCTGAAATATGGCGCCACCCACAGCGCCCATGGTGAAGGCGCCGCCGCAATCCTCGACGATGCGAAAGGGACAAGGCTCTCGTGTATATTCCTCCATAATTATTTAAACAATTGCAAACAGCTCTCGAATGTATGCCAGCCTCCGGTTGAACTCAATCCAGACAATAAAACGTTCATAAACAGGGCCTGCTAAGCTCTACGAGTTCGTATTCAATTTTGTATTTGAATGGAATTCCACGCTGAACCCTGAAATCGCATTAAAAGGTTACAGAAAAACAAAAAACAAAAAATAAATACAATTTCAAATGCGTCGTTGTCCATTTTTGGTCAGTCCCGACTTTTTTGATTGCCAGATTAAAAAGCAAAAAACAAAATAGAAAAAAAATAATAAACATTACAAAAAAAAATAACAACACAAGTAAACACATAAATAAATTGTTATTAGCTGGTTATGGCCACAATTTAAGCTGGAAAAATTTGTAAGTGATAAAGATCGCAGCGAACAAGTTGCTATCGCTTTATATTGTTGCCAATTAATTTAACAATCGATTTGTGCTTTGTCGCGTGTTTTTCTTTTTTCTTTTTCTATTTAATTTACAGGAGCAAATCGCGCAGTGTGGATCATGGCCTTGCAGCGCCTTTTGATTTGGACTCGTTGCGTTCGAAAGTTGAACAGCGCTTCGAGAGCGTCGACAAACTCTCAAGTGAGTGTATATATTTATGTATTTATAAACAATATCGAACATTTGAATAGTGCGCGCTACATGCACTGGCGCCATCTATGTTGTTACGCGCAAAGTAAACTCGCGCGAAGTTGGCTGCGGCAGCTAACAGCGCACAAAACTGTTAGCGAATCTTGTCTTAACTAAGTAATTTTTGAATTTTAACAGCTGATGTTAACAGTTAACAGCAACATAAGCCAGCGAAGTTCTGCAACAAAACCATCATCTTTTGTTTTTAGGGGGAACAACGGTTTTTTGCAGTACTGTAAGCGAGATGAGATTTAGTTTACTATTTATAGAAGAACAAATGGTTAAACAAAAATATTTTTTACTTAGAACAAACAAAACAAAACAAAACAAAAGTAATCTGAAATCGATCACTTTTAGCTATTTTTTACTCAAGCAAACCTATTAACGGTATCTAACAGCAATGGCTGAGTCACATAGAATTCTAATACCGTAGCACTTTGATAACAAACAGCGCTCAAATAAAGTCATTATCAAATTTCTACATAATAATCACATACATATGCATTTACGTACATAAGTGAAATAAAGCACATTTGTTAACTTCACGCTGAAGGCGCTGGCGTTACGTTTCGTGTTTGCCTTTTCGAATCGGAAAACTGCCGATTGCAGCGAAAAGTTTTGACGGCCGTGCTGTCAGCGGAGATGTCGTCGTTCTTGTTGTTGTTATTGCCAGCAGCAGCTGAGACGAAAAAGTAAAAAAAGCGAACGACGCAAAGGACGCGCTATAAACCGCTTATGCAAAACGATTCAACAGAAACGCAGACGTGAAAGACGCAAAGAAACGATAATTGATTAAAACTTTTAATTAATAAACTAAAAAAACCATGTTGGAAATCGTTGAAATCTATTGGCGTTCAAATATAAATGTGACTAAAGCAACTGAGCCAATGGCCGCCAACGAATTTGTTGTAATCTATTTATGCCGTCAGTTGTCACAATTGGCCCACGATGCCATCGAAACGGGCACATTATTTTCGCGCCTGCGTCCCGACGATGATGAATTTGTGGTTTTTGATCAGCTACCAAAACGGATAAAACTGCCTCAGAGTAAAAATCAGCGCCAAATGCATTGAATTTATTCATTTATTTACTTATTGTTTTTTTCCTTTCTTAGTTGGTATCGTGTTAATTAACAGAAGCTGTTTTCCTTTTTCGCAGGGCAAAAGTCTTCATTGCCCACCATACCCACCATTTCCTACACTGTGGGAAATCGCGATACACTGACCTCGGTGGCGGCACGTTTTGATACGACACCATCGGAGCTTACACACTTGAATCGGTTGAACAGCTCGTTTATATACCCCGGCCAGCAGCTGCTGGTGCCCGATAAGACAGCCAAAGATGATGCCTCGACCAGTTCCGCGGGCACTGTTGATGGAGCCGGCGGTGGCAGCATCTCCGGCAAATCGAGCCCAATCGAGCGCAAGTTGTCGAGCGACGAGAGCAAACAGGAGAAAGGTAAGCGACGCTGCTGGAAATGGTGCAATTGGTGCGATGATATTGAAGCTAATTTTTGCCAGTTATTCTAATTTTGCTTATACCATTTACCATGCATAAAAGTATTTAATTTCGCTTAACTGCATTTAGCATGCCAGCAGCATAAACGGGAAAATAACAGAAATTTGCATTTCAAAAACCTGAACCTGAATTGGCTTGGCAATGCTGCGCACAACACTAGCGTTTAACAACACTTAAAACCATATGCAGCCCTAGCTCAACAGCTGTTTGAGCTGTGCAGCCCTAAATGAGCCGTGTGTTCGTGACAGTTTGCGCTATTGTATTTGTTTTGTGTGGCCCAAACGACGGACGGATAAAATAAAAGCTAAAACCAATTTCTTACCACTTGGGCCACGCACGTTCACCAAATTGGATAGCAACAGTTGCAAAGTGCACGGCAGACCACTATTCCTCACAGAGCCGACGTCATCTACACATTTATCAGCATGCACACGGCTGTCTTTTGGCGAAACGGAGGTTATTGACGGATTCTCATACATATATTTGGGCCTTTGTGATTATTTATTATGTAGTTGGACGTGCTAATTATTATTGGGAGGCGCCTGCCAAATGCAAAATTTGCAGCGCATTTCGTTCTTGCGTTTCCATCTGCTGAATGTCACATGTCGCGCATTTATAAAGATTTACATTTAAACTAAATAACACATAAATCAATGTGGCCCCGTTTTGGCTTCACACACTTATCTTATCAGGCAGATAAAAATCACAGCTACCCATCGGGCAATTGCGCTGTTTGCAAGCGCTTCTGGTCTAATATTTGCCATATTATTATCATTCACACTAAGTATTCCATTCTGTCTTGCAGACATACTTGAGGGCCTGCGTCCAGGCTCCCCTAAGCCAGGCCATATTGAGCGCATTGTGGGCAACAGCAGCAATGCCGGCGGCAATAGCCAGGCGGAGGAGAACGCTGACAGGAGCGATGATCCGGTGATTACTCAACGTTTTCTTAAGATCAATGTACGCCATATTACCGATGGCCAAGGCGTTGTCGGTGGCGTTCTTTTGGTCACACGCAATGCTGTTATGTTTGATCCGAATGTCAGTGATCCGCTGGTCATTGAACATGGTCCCGAAAGCTATGGCGTTATAGCTCCCATGGATCTGGTAGTAAATGCAGCCATCTTTCACGATATTGCGCATATGCGTGTAGCGGGTGGAGCCGGTCCGAGTGTGGCTGCAGCAAATGCTGCGTCTGCCAGCGATGCCGAGAAGCCCGAAATTTATTATCCCAAACCAGTATTAGTTGAGGAAGATTCTAAGGAATTGTCCGAGCAGCAGGCGGATCTTGAGGCCAACAAGCAGCGCTTAGAGGGTGAGCTCCATCATACATTGAACAAGTTTACAAATATTAGCTAATCATTATCTTTCACATGTGCAGCTGAAATCGGTTCGCTGGAGATCACCGATGATCAGGAATCACTTTGTTCCAGCACTGGACGCGAAGGCGATGCCTTTCCCAAGGCCTTTGAGCGCGAACGTGTTGAGGTGAGCAGCTCAAAATGCTACATATACATTCATGGAATTGCTTATTAAACTGATAAATCTTTAGGATACATCAACGGATGCCAAAGATAGCGCTAAGACTGACGCTCAGGATGACGAAGAGGGTAAGAAAACGTTGGGCCTGACAAACACACGCAGCACGCTTGAGGAGCGACGCAAAAGTCTATTAGATCACCACTGGGCCATTCCCAGCAAAGATCGGTATGTATTTAACCAGCTGCACTGAATACTAAGTGCTTAACTATTTTGTTTGCTAACCCAGAACCTAGTTTAAGTTACCAACATGAATAAGTGAAAAGAAATAATTGTATCTTAATAATTTGTTGTACAACCTTCTTTTTTGTGTTTTTATTTTCATATTTTTGAACTGCAACGTTCCCTCAATATAAAATACACACCCATACCATTTGTGCTTCGCAAACAAACACACACAAACAAACACACCTGCACACACAAACACACATGCACACGCACACGCGTATTTATACCTGTACCTGTACCTGTACCTGTTACTTGTTAATACATCAATACGCCAAATACTCAGCTATTATTTGTCTAATTCCCGAAGATCATCGGATGACGAGGCCGATAACGAGTCCAATCTAACGGTAGACAGCGGCGCCAGGGTCCCGGACACACAGTCATCAGCCAGCTCTAGCAAGGGCGCCATAACAGGTGCTGCGGCTACTGGTGCTACTGCAGGTGCAGTTGCAGCTCCAGCTCCAGCTCCGGCTGCTGCTGCTGCTGCTGCTGTGCTGCCCGGCATCGATTTGGAGCACCTGGAGCAGCTGTCGAAGCAGTCATGCTACGACTCGGGCATCGATATACGCGAGCCCATACCGACAATACAGCCGATACCAAAGAAAACAGTATACAGCGACGCAGACATTGTGCTCAGCTCTGACTGGGTGCCGCCAAAGAATATTGTGCCCACACATTTCAGCGAATCGCCGCCGCGCAGCACCATTTTTGGCCAAAGCCTCGACGCTGCTGGCGGTGCGCGCAAGAAGACCTCCAGTGTTAGCTTCAGCGTGGACGACGAGGCGGCACAGCAGGCACAGGCAGTCGCAACGGCAGCTGCCTTGAGCGGCGACAAGCAAGCAGACAAAAAGAACAAGGTAAAGCAGTAACATTAAGCAGAAAAGATAGTCGAATAATACATACATATTTCGTTGACTTTACAGATGCTCAAGCGTCTATCATATCCCTTAACATGGGTGGAGGGCCTAACAGGCGAGGGTGGTCCATCGCCGTCACCTGGCGGCAGCCTGAACAAGTCGGCGGACACTGAATCGGCGCCCAACACGGGTGACTCCAACCAGAGCGTATTTTCGAAAGTATTCTCAAGGTGCGCGAACGAGAAATCAGCTAAAAGCAACATATTAACTTCTACTTATATAATTGGTGCCACAAAC